AGGGTTCAGAAGAAAGAGGAAGGCCCTGATGAGCTGGATTGGCAGCGAGGCTGCAGCAGTGCACCCCAACATGACAACAATGGGAGACTGGCACAAGATTCATTCTGTTGTTCATAGGGTCTATTTCAAAGACATCTCACAACAACAACAAACCAACCAAGAGATCTGATGTTTGCAGTAAATAATGAATTGCTTTTAAAATTCCAGTGAACTCCAGACCTTGATGCTAATCTGTTCTAGAAGGAGCCGAGGTGCGATGCAGTTGAGTTCCGAATCAATGTTTCCCATAAGAAATCACTGAAAATGGATTAATCCATTCTTGACCCTCAAGTTTTTACCCTAACCTTGCCTTTTTACATATTACATAGACATTTCACAGTAAATAACTTCAGAGTTAAATAATATAACTTAAATAAAACAACAACATTAAAAAGTTTTTAACAAGTACTGTCTGGCCCAGACCTTGAGACTGATGAGGATCTGGATCTGTGGACACGGACGTGGAGAGGAGGGATGGAGAGAGAGTCATTGTTTGGAAGGGGAATCCCCTTTCATAATATCAACTGGTAGCTGCTTTTCAGGAGTTCCCCCCCCCCCTTCTTTGCCTTTTTTTTAATTAGGACTTGGTTGGCTTTCTTTAAGAACAGAAACAAACAAACAAAACCTGTCTAATGCAGTCTGCTATTGGCGTTTCCTTAACTGTTTTCTCAAAGGGTTTATTTACATCATCAACAATATCGATAACTTGGCTAACCAGTTCCTTTTCATGATTCTTTTTAAAAAAACTCTTTCTTACAACCCATATTTTTATCTGACAACCGTACAAAAAGCCACAAAAACTAAGAAAATTATAGCAAAACGCTTGGAACAGTGCAAAAGGTTTAAACGACACGTACTAACTAACGCTGAGTGAGGGAAACATGAACTATTTTTGTTTACAAAAATCACATGCGTTGGGTCACATTCCATTGTTATGTTCGAGCTCCGATGCAAAATTTTCTCGACATGTCACGTCAAAATCCAATGATGTCGGGTATTGATGCGGTCGAGTACCGGAGTTCTACTGTAATAGGTTCAAATGATTGATTATGTGAAGGCCTACTATGTGAGTGCTAGTGAATTGTATATGACATTGTGAATAAGATCAGTTCCAGAACACTTAATTATGCTCATGAGGAAACAATCCAAAGACCTAAACACAGTTGTTCAAACAGAATAAGAGAATGTTATGTGTCTTCAAACCAGGAAAGGTATAGGTCAGATCTGTATCCTTTCATCGTACTGACATCTGTATGTTGAGCGACATTCTGAGAAATTGAACTTTATAAAAAAGGACATGGCATCAGGATTGGAGGAAAAGTCATTAACAGCTTATGGAACTCAGAAGACACAAAAGTGAAAAGTACTTGGAGCAATTACTGATGAAGATCAAAGACCACAGCCTTTATTCATATTGATTATGCCTCAGCACAAAGAAAACAAAATTCTGGACCAATAAGCAACTGGACAAATAAGATACATCGTGGAATGCAGAAAATATTGAAGTTGTCAAGGATTTCATGTTACTCTGATCCAAAATCAATGTCTATGAAAACTGCTGTCAGGAAATCAAACAACACATTGCATTAGGCAAATGTGCTGCCTCAGACTGCTTGAAACTGTTAAAAAAAGAAAAACACCTTGAGCACTAAGTGGCACCTGGTCCAAGCCATGGCATTTTCATCTGCCTCAGATACATGTGAAAGCCGGATAATGAATGCAGGAGCTGGAAGAAGAACGAATGCGTGTGAATGATGGTGTTCGTGAAGCATATCGAAAGTACCATGGCCTGCCTTAAGAACAAACAAATCTGTCTTGGAAGAAGTAGAGCCAGAATGCTTTTTAGAAGCAAGGATGGCAAGACTTGGTCTCGAATATTTAGGTCATGTTATTAGGAGAGATCGATGTCTGGTAAAGGTCATGATGCTTGATCTGTGAAAAAGAGGAAGATCTAGTCCTAAAGGGGAATCAGATAATTCCCCATTTTTGTTATAAAGCAAGCAAATCACAACTTGTTCAAGAAGCTGTACGTGTTTTAACCAAACAGACAAGTCCTCAATATCCTGTAGGATTTTTATTCGACTGTCTGTTTGAAAACAAAGAGCTCATAAGATGAATAACTCAAGCAAAATGAAAACACAGGTTGTTCATTAACTTCTGGTTTGTCTTACTAGCTCCATAGCAATACATTTCTAGGATTGTTGTTTTGTTCTTGGCTTTGTGTTTTATTTGTTTGTTATTAGCTACTCCTGGAAAAGTCAGCATCTGAAAGCACAAAGACCTTATTTGTTGAAACATGGGTCAAAAAAACTGTTTTCAGTCTATGTAAGATAACTTACCTTTTATACTCCAGTATAAGCCGACCTGAATATCAGTCAAGGTACCTAATTTTACCACAAAACGGAATTAAAAATGTGCTGACAAACTCAGCTTATACCCGAGTATATATGGAATTTTAAATAAAGTCTGGAAAGCTTCAAACTTCTGCTCCAATTTGCCTTAAACTCTAGAGTGCTGACTCCGCATCCAGAGTGCTATTACTGCAGTTGTCTCCAGTCCCAAGAGTGTGCACCAAGTCAGTGAACTAATCAGGTTTTACCAGGCCTTTATTTTTTAACTTTGCCCTCTACCGTGTGCTTAGGTCCTTTGGGTTACTTGCCAAGGAAGTCCAAAGCAGGGGGAAGTAAGGACCTACTTTCTTTGAGATATCTTTGAGGTGTCCAAGCCACGAGAACATGTTGAAGTAGAAAAAATGGGGCTGGAAAATATTCTCTTTTCCTACTAATATAAAAGTCAGAGAATTGTTTCTTTAAATGATGCAACATTATTAGTTAGTACAACTAATATTTTCCAAGGGTTACAAACTTTCTTTAGAACTTTTTTAGATACTTATCTGAGAGATTAAAACTAGTTTTCCTCTGGGAAGATCATTTAACCAATTGAGATTCTCTCAGCTTTTCAAAGGTATGTATGGCCCCAAAGAAATTTAAGAATACTTTTAGGGGGGAAATGTCTTTATCTTTAAATTAATGTCTTAAAAATGTAAGGAAAAAGACAAAAATATATTATATAACCTTAGCTTTGGAAGAAAAAGAGGCAAAGGGCCCGATTTTATAGGTTAACTGAAAGAATAATGGTCTATGATAGTTTATAATGCTACCTATGGAATGGACTATATATATGTTATACACACATACATATGTTTTATATATATACACACAAATATAGTTCAGGTCAGTTATAATTTAAGCTATACTTAAGCAATAAAAATATCCTATTCAAATAGTTATATTTACATAGTCACCTTCTGTACTGAGAGGTCATGTAGTTAAGGGAAAGAACATGAAACCAAGATTGAGATAAATTGAGATTCACTCTGATAAGTTGGGGGACCTTGGATAAGTCATTTAACTTATGCTTTTTTAGTTTCACTTATGAAATAATTATACTTAAAGTTCCTTAGAATATTAGTTTTATTTATAATGTTACTTAAATGCAGCTATTTAGCAATACACTTGGTATATAAAGGAAAATAATCTGTTGATGTACTCTTTTCATGTTATAATACCAAACACTTGGTTGTAGAATTTGTATTGAGAGATTTACTTTTTTCAGTACAAGATGACTAGTCATTTATTAATATTATATAAAATTTTCATTGTACATAACTGTACACTCAAAAACATCAAATGATTCTTTGAAGATCCAGAATGTTTTCTGCTTTCATTCTTCCTACAAAGGGTTCTCTGTATCTCCACCCAGGTGCCACCCCTCACATAGTTTAAAAGCCTCCCAAGTTCCAAACTCCCTGCCAGCGAGTCCATGCTGACTCCTAGCGACCCCCTGTGGGGTTCATAACTGTTTCTAAGACCATACCTGTCTACCGGAGTCAAAAGGCCAGCCTTTTTCTAGCCAAGCTGCTGGTGGTAACCATCCTACCACTTGGGCTCCTTTGAAAGTCTTGGTCTACAATTAAAAATGTTACAAAAGCATGATATTTGATAGGGACCTGATTTGACTAAATTCTAAATATTATTATGCCTTGTGTGTTTTCTCAGAGAAATTATTCATTTAGATTACTTTCCAATTGTCCAAGTCCTAATTAGATAGGAGATATTTTCATTTATTTCTTCTACCTTGGTTCTAAAGATAATTTCCATGTCTTTACATCCCAAGATGGGGTTAAATTGTTTCTGCATGCAACTTTGTTGAAGGGAGGAAGAAAGGGTTACTATGCAAATCGCCCCCCTCCCTCACGCATGGATTAAAACGTGCACCAGAGTTTCTAGTAACTTTGGAGGAAACCCGTTTATGTTTGCTTTGATGTACCCTGAAGATTTCAAATCAATACTTAGCATTAACGTTTTAATTGAGAATTAACACCACCATAATAGGAAGTCGGGATCAGCATCCTGCTATTAAAGAGAGCTATTTGGTTGGGGAGGTCATTCCACTGGAGAGTAGACACTGCAGGGAAAACACAAATAATGTGTTTCCTTGAGCAAGGGCACACAGTAAACACTTGCCTTGGTGGTCAACTATAATTTTCTTCCTGAGCCAGCAGCTCCTGCAACACTTTGGATTTATAGCAGAGCACACAAGTAGCAGTGACTTTGAAAGCAAAGGATAAAGGAGCCCTGGAAAAAGTTACTAGTTTCTGTAAGACTGTTCCTTGTTACACGGACTAAAGACTTTTCCATCAATCTAAAAGTAGGATGCCTTTTTGTTATTTTCAGCAATGACACTTGAGTCGGGCCTATCTTACAATTCTTTTATTTTTAATATCCGTAGGTTATCCGTAGGTTTGCTTTCCATTTTGGTAAACAAACAAAAGAATGTATTTAGCTTTTTATTTGCGTCGAATGTCTTGAAAAGTTCAATCACTTTTCTGAATACCCCAGAATAAGCAAGAAATTCCTCCGCCCCCCACCCCCCGCCCCTGCAGCAGCCCACCCCCATGGTACCACCCTAAGGCACTTCCATCCCTGACCAGTGCTTCCAGGAAAAAGTGTGCAGGTCAGATTTAACCGCTCAGTTGCAGTAGTAGGAAAATTAGAGAAATGGGGATTTCTTTATAAATCGTCAGTACCAGAAATGAGTTCCTCTTCTCCTCTTTCTCTTTTTGCTGAAAGCAGAAAGTTCCGTGCACAAGAAGCATCCACAGTCACCTGTTTTCCTTACACCTCTCCAGGGCCAAGGGAGGACTCCGCCAGTGAGGGGCCTTCTGCCCCTTCCCTCAGACTACAGACCCCAACCTTTCCTCCATTGGCCGCGCAGTGTGCGGAACTGGAGTGCAAAGCGGCGCCTTCGGTCTCACTGCCCACTCCCTGAGTGGTCAGAGGCCCTTTCCTGGGGTTGGAGGAAGGATCCTTGTGGAAGCAGAATTTGAAAATCCCCAGCACTGTCAGGGTCAAGATGACCAACACTATAACCGCTATCCCCACAAGTATGAAGACCACCAAGGAAGAAGAGTCCAAGGTCCGGGCAACAGTAGAGGCAGATGTGGAGTTAAACTTTGGTCTGGCACCTCCTGAAGTGGGGATGGGATCTTTGGAATTGGTTCGGGTGGGCATTTGCAGGGTAGACGTCGTGGCCTGGCCTTCCCACTCAGGAATCTCGGGAGTGGACGTTTCTGAGTTGCCTGGTACAGAGCCCAGGGGTATCTCGCCTGACTTCTCATGGCCCGGGAGTGGTCCCGTGTTTGGCCCAAGGCTGGCTGCAGTGACCTGTGGACGCCCAGTGACCACTTGTGTCTTCCCAGGGGTCGGCTGTCCTTCCCTAGTGCTTACACAGGAGTGGCCGTCTTGACTCAATTCGAAGCCGGCGGCACACTCGCAGGTAAAACCTCCGGAGTCGTCTAGGCAGTTGGCGAGCTGGGCGCATCTGCCAGCAAGAAGGTACCTTCCCGGGCAAGGGCAGAGCAGGCCTCCGGAGGGCAGCCCTTCCCAGTGCGCGCCGGCCTCCTCTGCGACGCACTTGGCGGAGACCGAGAGCGGCCCGGGGCACAGCGCGCTCACCTCGGTCCCCGGGGGGCTGAAGGCCAGCGCGGCGCTGTGCAGCTGGAAGGGCGCGTGGTAGCTCCAGTCCGAGGCGGCGCCGGGCCGCGGCGCTGGGCACAGGGCCTGGAACTGGTATTTGCACAGGTAGCCGTCGGCGCGCAGGTGGCACCGCGTCTCCTTCCAGCCGGCGGGCT